CTGCAAGGTTAATATCGTCTGAATACGAACTCGATCTGTTATTCCAAACCTCATCTCACATTACTTTCATGATGTATCTATGGAATTTTTTGTTCGATGCAAATTATCTCTACTTCTCGATCTCACCCAAATATTGGCTGAAGATAGCGAACCGGCAAAATGTTTGGAGTCCGGAAATAGCGGAGACAAATTGCCATCGAGAACATACGTGATTGAATGAGAAAAGTACTGGAATACATTGATTTTTCAGATGTCAGCACAAGATGTGATGATCGAAGTGAACCAGTATCGAGCAACACCCAAAAATACGGCTCTCCCGTCGTTTCTGCGACTGCCCGCTAACTCGACCACCAATCTCCGCGCTAAACGTCAAGCTTCATGTCAAGGTTTGTCGATCTCAATTTTGGATCTTCCACTTTTCAAATTCAACCACAGAATATTCCTTCTGCAGTCTGCACGGTACGATTCATTCGTTCCAGTCAAGAATTTATAGAAAATCACATCTAGATCATATGATTGCAATTAAATGAAATGATGAAAAAGTTTGCTCTGCAAAAATACAGTCGAACATTTTTTCAGGATGTTGCTTACCTGGACCACCTGGACCTGATGGTCCACCGGGTAAAAATGGAAGACCAGGTCGCCCAGGAGCACAAGGTCCACCAGGATTCCCAGGACGACCACCAGCGTACGTTTTTTTTTTCAATTTATCTGGCATGTTCAACTCAAAATTGAGGCATGAAACGCGATGACGGAGTTGCAGAGGAGACCGTGAATATTTTCAAAAAATCCCCGTAATATATCTCAATTCAAAACGGGAATTTTGAGGTTCTTGAAAGTGTTTCTGCTCTGATGTCACAAAATGCTTCTTTACTTTATCTTAACAATGTGATATTCCAGAGTATGCGAACAAGTCACGGAACCACCATGCACTCCTTGTCCACCTGGAGAACCAGGACCACAGGGACCCCAAGGAGATCCCGGTAAGGAACAAGCGAATAAAAAGATTTGATTAGACACTGAAGGGCTGCTGGAAGAACAAATCTGTTGGACTATGTGCTCAAATACATGACTGCACGGCGATAATTCGGTCGGAATACGGTAATCTCCAATGAAATGGTCTATGTTTTTAGGGAACGCTGGACCACCTGGCCCACCAGGAAGAAATGGAAATGACGGAAATCCAGGACCTCAAGGACCACCCGGAGCTCCGGGTCCACGTGGTGAACCAGGACGCGACGGACCTCGTGGAGAGGCCGGAAGACCAGCAATATCAACGCCTGCTCTACCAGGAGATCCTGGAACACCTGGAGAACAAGTGAGCATTTTTACTTACTTGATTGCACCAGACCAGTCTGAGTATATAGTAATGGTACAGCAATTCATGTCTAAATGTATCATAGAAGCGCATTCCCATAGATTTCAAATGAATTTATTCAAAGTCTCAAACTGATTCAGTATACCCTCAAATCCTCGTACTAGCCATCCTTAAAAACGGAATAATTTCTTTCAGGGACCACAAGGTTTACCGGGAGACCCAGGTGAGCCCGGACGTCCGGGATCGGACGGCCCACCAGGTCCGCCTGGACCACCCGGTCCTCCGGGAGCGAACGGTGAACCTGGAGAGCCAGGGCCACAGGGAACACCCGGTCGTCCAGGACCACAAGGTGAACGGGGTATTTGTCCAAAATATTGCGCACTCGACGGTGGCGTTTTCTTCGAAGATGGAACACGACGTTGAATTTAGTGTTGCGCACGCAATACTGTTGAATTCATTTGTTTACATGAATTTACTATTATTCGGCTCCTACGGTTTTCTGTCCAAAAAATTATCCTTGCATAGCTATTAATACTAGTCAAATTGGATTCTTTTACACAAAACGTCCGAAATATCTGATGAGTTCAATTGGAATACAAGGAAAACATGCGTGGATATTCTCTTCAACCATCCACAATTGACAAACAAGTCAAATTGAAAAATAAACGAAAATTCGATCCGATTCGATGAAAAGCTCAAAAGATACGAGATTTTGATCGTAACAAAGAAACCTTTCAATAACAGTCATTCAAATGACTTCAATAATCAGATGTCATGACTCTTGACCTGTTAGCAAATCACTAAACTATTCTTTTGACTCCATAGAAAATTATGATTTCTTCAAAGCTGATTGTTTGTTTCATAGTATTGATGATGTATAAACTGTTCATTTGCATGTGGGTTTTGTTTGAATTCTCAACTATTATACCGCATTACACATTCACCTCTCAATTAATTGAGATTCACGAAATAGACCAGTAAACAACAGTAAAGAGGTCAAAAGAGGTTGTGCGTGCTTCATTCGCGCAATCCCTTTTGCAGAACTACATATTGATATGTTCTTAGAAACAATCTAGAAACTAAGTTGATCGTGGAGTATCACAGGCGATTTACGGTTATCAATTGCAAATATCTACAGTTTTGCTCATTCTTTTAAGTGACTGACCTCCCAAATTGGTAACTGACTTCATGATATAACTGTGAGTTTACATCGTCAGAAATGAAGCTATGAGCTTGCTTGCAGAAAGTCTAAATGTAAGAGTCCACAGGTTCAATTAGAAAAAACTGAATTCAACGAATTGAGATTTTCGTCGACTTGGTTTAATCAATTAGTGCAAACTGCTTTTAGAGCTGAATGAAACAGGCATTTCAAAACATATCCAAACAAGAATTATGATTAACTGCATCACTATTTTCATCTTTTCGTTTGATCTTGCGCTCGTCAAGATAGAACATCGAAATATTCATGTGAAACGATTTGGAGAGGACGTATGCAGTTTATACATCGCATAGTGGATGTGATATGAAACATTGAAACGTTTCATCAATGAAGACGTTCAAATTTGATTGATAGAAGCCATTGATGGACGATAGATAATGCAGAGCAAATTCTTGCGTAGAATGCTATCATTTTGCAAATTCGTTAAGCTTTCGGAAGGGATGAAGAAGACTGCCCG